CACCCTTCCCACTGAGTCTGGACACTCCTGCTCTAAGCGCATCTCTTATTGGTGCACCCTTCCGACTGAGCCTCGACACTCCCGCTGTAAGCGCACATTTTATTGTTTCATCATTTCCACAAAGCCTCTGTCATCTTGACACGGCGCAGCCCTTCCTCTCTTATAGAGTCCTACTCTCGCTTCGCTGCGAAACCCCGTGATCAAAGCTACGCCTATGGACGAGGAAGCCTCGACTAAAAACTGCTTCGCTGTGAAAAAAAAACAAAAAAAAACATCAGAGCCCCTATGCACTTATTACAGACTACCAGTACCAGCCACAATGTAAAAGCCATTTGCTTTCTTAACGTTCGCTTGTTCTCTGGAAATTTGCCGGGCACTTCAATTTAGCCACCTGACACTGTGGGAAAGGGGAAGAAAACTACGCCGATGCCTTATACGCGGTCAAATGAAGAGAGATGATGTGAGCATTTGAATAGTGAGATAATGTTAACCGCCTCTGTAGTCTGTATCAGTTCTTTCTTCTTTTTGTACTTCTAAATTGAACAATAAAATAATTGAACTCGCTGTCATAGCCATTTCTTTACTACAGCTACTTTTTCCCACTTTCGTGTTGAATAAAGTAAATATTTTAAAAAACACACACTCATTTACACAACCTTGCAGCTGGCGAGGCTGAAATTCTTTATTTTAACACCGCTTGCACACAAGCACAATGCACAGTTTCGATATCGCGCTCTCAGTACTGATCACAAATGTTAGTGCCTTCAAAAGAACGTTGAAGCTTTTCTAATGCTTTTCGAAATATTCCTGATGGCCATGAGCTCAGTGTTCTCGCTAATAAAAAAGTAAGCGGAGCTCCCACTGGAGTCATGATTTACGAACGTGGATAAGCCTCATCTGTTGCTCTGTTGTGTCATTGTTTTTGTCTGCAGAACGTTCACAGCTCAAGCAGCCTTGGCGCCTCGTTCGTCGGCAAACCCTGCCTATCCCATTCGAGGTCAATTTCATTTCATATGCTGGATTGGTTTCCATGCTTGTAAACCTAAATACGAAAAAGAGTTGTGGTCCTGACGAACTGCCCAATGTCTTTCTCCGACGTTATGCCGAATACGTTGGCAAATTCCTCTTTGTAATCTTCAATGCTTCCCTGTCAACAGCAACTTTGCCGCGTGACTGGAAAATGGCCCGAGTGGCGCCTATCTTCAAAAAAGGCGACAGATTATCAGTACCTAATTACAGGCCAATATCGCTAACTTCCTCATGCTGTAAACTAATAGAACACATTATAGCGAACCAGATTACAGAATTTCTTGAAACACACTCTATACTAACACATTTCCAGCACGGGTTTAGAAAAAAGTATTCGACCGTGACGCAGCTTGTTACCGTTGCGCATGCATTTGCCAGCGCCCTCGATGACAACATTCAGATAGACACCATTTTTCTAGACTTTTGTAAGGCCTTCGATAAAATTCCTCATGAGAAATTAATCTACAAATTAAATAAAATAGGTCTTCCGAAGGTATTGGTCGCATGGGTAGCTGAATACCTGAATAATCGGGTGCAGTACGTCGCCATCGAGGGTCAAAATTCGAGTCTTTTGCCAGTCACGTCGGGTGTGCCCCAAGGCAGTGTATTGGGGCCCTTGCTATTCTTGTGTTACATAAATGATATTGTAGATGTAATTGAGCCAACCGTCCAGATTCGTTTGTTCACAGACGACTGCGTTTTATTCCGTGAAATTCATAACAAACATGATCAAATAGAGCTACACAAAAATGTAGACTACATATACAAATGGTGCAACAAATGGGGTATGATTGTAAATACAGAAAAAACAGTTTCCATGTGTATAACTCGAAAAAAATATCCCCTTCACTATGCTTACTCCCTTGGTTCTTCTACACTTAAACAGGTCAATAACTACAAATATCTAGGTGTTACGTTCACTACTAACCTGTCTTGGAATTCACACATTGAAAACATTTGTGCATCTGCTTTCAGAAAATTATGCTTCCTGAGACACAAGCTCCGCAATTCGCCATCAAGTGTAAAACTTCTGTGTTATCAATCCTATATTCGACCAAATTGGAGTACGCATGCGTAGTGTGGGATCCCTACACCAAATGTAACATAGACAAATTGGAAAGAATTCAGAGAAAAGCAGTTCGCTTTATATATTCTAAATTTCGTCACACGGATTCTCCATCTGAACTAATGTCAGCTAACAACATTCCACTACTTCAGTCTAGAAGAAGGCAACTGCGCTTAGACTTCCTGAGTTCCTTGCTTAACCATAGAGTTGCGATTGACCCTTCATTGTATTTAACCCCTTTGTCAACCAGATATACACGACATCACCAACCAAACTCTTTTACACCATATTTTGCTAGAACAGATACATATAAATTTTCCTTTTTTCCGCGAACAGTGTCTGAGTGGAACACCTTGTCTGAGTGTGACCGCCTTGCATAGTATGTATGTTTGTCTCATAGTGTATATTTGTTGATGTAGCACTGTATATATTTCCTCATCCTACTCACTTTGTTATTTATTACGTTCGTGATCAATCTTAGTCCTCTGTTTTTGTGATTCCTGATTGCCCGTCCTGCTTGGACCACGTTTTGTAGTCTGCAGTATGAATAAAATAAAAAATCTAAGGAATTAACCGATGACTGAGTGCCATGTTTCTCTCTCTACAGCACCGATCAAGCTGCTGTAAATTTCCGCATAAGACATGTGTCTCGGTTAACCAGGTCTCGCCGACGTTGGGAAGGGAGTTCTTGATTACTCAACGCTTGAAGTACAACACTGCAGCCTTGTCTGGCCTCCAAGCGGATGGTTGATCGATGTTAGGTTTATAAAAGAAGTCGCCCACACCCACCCGCCCCGGTTCTCTCCAACTTACAGTGTGCGACATGGAGCAGTTTCAATCATGCTAATGCTTCACTGCTTCCTGCTTCGTAGAGGCGCTTCCTGATGACGTGTGCACCCACTATGAGTCGGCCAGCACCTATTATTCATTGCATGTTGCGCATATAGTTCCTCTTACGCGCACTTTTCGTCAAGTAAAGCCAACTAGGTTTTCAATGATTATTAACGACAAAAAAAAAACGACTCCGCTCATGTTTAGTAATATTTTCTGTCAGCCAGCTGTTCATTAAACCTACAACCAAAGTCCTCTGGTGTCAGCTATAATATTTGATGCAAATAACGTAAAAGTGATTTTACGAAATTCTGTCAGCGCTGCGATAACGCGCCCAGCATTTCGAAATGCTAGTTTTGCATAAAAATGATTTTTGAGAAAATGATCCGCGTAGTGGAAAACACGAGAACGCGCCAGCCATCTGCACTCGCTGGATTAATTGCTTACATGCGGGGCATTCCTAACACCACAGTATTTAATCTGCGAACACGTGCGCTTGTTACGTAACTTTGATGACATTCATGCAAGACAGCCGATGTTCAGAGTACAGATAATGCCTCAGAAACATTTTGAACATTTTAGGGGTGAAGTACCTTAGGTTATCGGTGTGTCGGCGGGCATCGTCCTCTGCTGCTGTCTGTTTGCTTGTGCGCAAAAGAGGGCACCACCTCAGCACTCGTCGTGTGGCGAAGAGAGGGAACGCTTTTTGTGATGAACGCTGAACTAACAGCTCGCAATGAACGAGAACGCGCCCTCACCCGCGAGAGACAACATCGACGCAGGCAGCGTCTTCTAGTGAGTTTCTTCATTGAAAAAAAAATCACAGCATATCCACGGAGTGATTGATAATGAGTAGGGCGAAGCATCTGTCAGTCCGTCCGTGCTTCCATTCATCCGTGCGTCCGTCTCTGCGTGGGTCTGTGAGCCGGTCCGTCCATCCGGGCATCTGTCTCTCTGTCCATACGTCTGCGCGTACGTTGTCTGCTTGTCTGTCTCTTCGTCCATGCGTCCGTCCGTCCATCTAGTGAACGCTCTAAGTACCACCATCTCGCATCTTTCCATCATATCTTCATCATATACAAGTACCATCACCCAGCGAACATTCGAAACACTAAACGAGAGGTGGCTACCTACAGCTACGACGACGACGACTCCTACTACTACTACTAGATACGTCGGGAACGCACGACCCAATGATCGCAGCAGAGTCCCCAATAGTATTTTAGGAAACTCTATGGGGGTCATACACCCATGGGAAATCCGTCATGCTAGCCAATAATAGATCATATAGGTTCCTTAGTAGGATGCCTCGTCCAAGTGTTGGCAGAGCTCTGCAGCGGAGCGGTCAGTTGTCAGTTCTTGCTGTTTCATAACGGCACTTTCCGGTACACCATAAACAATGTTCATAATTTTGCGGTGAATTTTATACGAAGCAACCAAGTAGGAATTTCAATGCCATTTTGAAGGTGTTTCAATGCCGTCAACAATCTCGAATAGCAAACGCAGTTCTAAAGATTTTTCAACGTCGTTTTTCCGATGCAGTGTAAACAAGGCGGTGCATTGAGAGGGAGCAACAGTGCACGCTTTGACTGTCCTGTTCTGCTTGTTTTTTTTTATGTTCGTATGGAGTGCATGCGTACGGTTTCGTTGCATTTATAAACAGCACTTTATAATCACAGCCACGTGTTTATAAGCAGGCCTAAGACGACCAAACATTTATGCGTGGCTCTGTTACTGCAAATGCCAACGACCAGTGGAGCTGGGTGAAGCGCACTAAATTATCAAACATTAGTCTGTCTCGATTAGACACAGGAAGCGCGACCTTTGTATGACCATCATCAAGTTCCAAGTGTGCGAAATGCTTGCCAAGCAAACTGACATTAAAAACCGTGATTGTAGGTTCATCTTCTTACCCCTTGCCAAATGCATCGTGATATCTATCTGTAATCGTGTCAGGGGGTTGTTCTTTTAACCGTGGAAACTCAGCACACAAAGTCTTGTGTGCATTATCCTTCGCCTGGTAGCAGAGCTACCGCTCTCGAAGGAAAGAAAGAGGCGGCGACCGCCGACTTACCTTCCGTGTTGACGGTGGAGATGTAGGTCCAGTTGTACATGAGCAGCGTGTCGACCATCATCTGCGACTGGTACTGGTCGGAAGGCACCACGCGCAGGAAGTACTTGAAGAATTGCTTGTTGCTCAGCTGCCGCGACGTGGCAGAGTAGCCGATCTGCGGAATGTTGAACAGCTGCAGCAGGTTCTGCACCTGCTCGCCCATCAGGATGAGGAGGAAAGAAGAAGACTAAATTGTCAATACGCAACTACTTTGTTGGTTAGCTGCTTTTTTTCTTGTTTGATATTTTTGTTTGTTACAATGCTCATTTATTAGTTTGCTCATGTGTGGCATAAAAGGTGGGGGAATCACGAATAGGTACGCAATCCGCTTAATAATTTTTTTTCAGAAACAAAGTCACGACACACTGATGCATTCATTTGAATGATATAGCATGTAGCTTAGGCACAAGTCTACTTACACTATGATTACACTTAGACCAAGCGCAATCAAGACGGATACTGTCTAGCAACAGAACCACGCAGTCATGAACTTTCTCATTAGAGCAGCCGCACTACAACGGCTATTCCACTTCAAAATGACGTATTCCAGCCCTTGGGGTTATGGGATGGATGCTGTTGTTCTTGATGACCCACATACAAATGATCTTCCAAATGAATATCTGTAAAACATGGTTCCCAGAGAAGCTGACAAAAGCAGTCAAAAAAGTTTCATGTTTTATTGCGTCCTTATAAAAGACGCTGGTCTTGAGGAGATGCGGTAACGTGCAACAGCGACATCTGGTAACAAAGTAACTGAAAAATAAGCAAGAACAGAAGTACAAGCAATGCTGAAAGGGCGGCAATAGCATAAGTTCTTGTCGCCACCTGTGTGCGGCCGCAGTGAGCAACGGTTGCAGTTACGCTGATGAACGTATCGCGAAGTAGCGGGAAAAGCCGTCGTAAACATCCATGAGTCTCTTTTTATATAACTGACGTGCCTCCGCTGCACGCTCGATGCACTATAACACAGCGCCTCCAGAACACTGTTCACCGATTTTCTTGCGCAAAACATCAAAAAAAAATTGCCCGCAGCTTCCCTCGGGGGAACACTGAGGAGGATGCGGAGCATATAATTGGTTAACGGGGTGTTAAAGTGCGACTTACTTGGGTCGATGGCTAAATTGGTTAACGTGGTTGTGAAATGGGGTGTTAAATTGCGACTTACTTGGGTCGATGGCTAAATTGGTTAACGTGGTTGTAGGAGGGGGTGTTAAATGAGTGAACACGTACACACGTATGCGAAAGGGCGGTGCTGGTCGAAGGGACGTCGATCATTGTGTTTGTGGATTCGTTGGAATTCATTTCACCGCGACCTTGGACGTCGACGCGCCGTACAAACCAACCGACGAGCGGCAACTGAGCGAGCGAGCGCCGACCTTGAGTATATATACAGCGCGACGGCGCATGCACTGTCAGCTGTCGAATGTTCGAGAAGGGGGAGAAGCGCAACGGCGCATGCGCGCGCGTCAGCTGCCGATGTTCTCGAAGCGCGACGGCGCATGCGCGCGCGTCAGCTGCCGATGTTCTCGAAGCGTGACGGCGCATGCGCGCTACATTATACAGCTAGCGAATGTTCGTGAAGAGGAGAAGCGCACGTGGTGTGTAGAGGAGGAAGGGTGCACAGATGGTGGAGGAGTGAAGCGCGCGCGGTGAGTAGAGGAGGAAGGGATGCACAGATGGTGGAAGAAGGAGGAGGAAGCTTGCGGACGGCGCCGCACTACAAGCCTCGAGTATTAGATGCTCCGCATCTAAAACGTTTTGTTCACTCTCTCCAGGCGCAAGACTAGTGTCTTTCGACGACATTTGCAGTGTAACCTGCAGATACGGGGCCAATGTTTTCGCTAGATAAGTTATAAAAATGAAAAAGCCGAGGTGAGTAAGTGAAACAACCTTATTAGATCCACAATAGGCACGAGTTGACTCGACGTCACCTGGCTAGGCCCACTCGGGAACGATCAGGTTAAACCTGCCCACCCTCACGCCGACCTTCTGGAAGGCCAGGATATGAGAGATCGGGCCCTCGACCTTATCGAGCTTGTTTATTTCTTCGGTGGGAAGGGGGACCGGGAAAGGCGCTGGACATGCTCGAAGTAACCACCACACTGATGACAACCCGGGCTTGGGAATCGTTCGGGGTATATTGGTGGTATAAAACTAAAACTCTCCGCAGCAAGCCCATTAAAGCAGGAACGGGAAAACTTTCACGATTTCAGACCCACCTGTATGGTGACGGCCGACGAGCCAGGTCCTATGACGCCCACTAAGTTTTTGACGCGCCTCGCCGGGCCCTTGGGACAGACGGCGGGCAATTCGGTGACGTTCGCTCCGCCGCCGCCGCTAGTCTCCTGGGCGCTGATTGCGTCCCGGATGAACTCGATGCTCTGTTCCAGAGCCGTGGGCGAATACCAGCACGAGTCGCGGATCTCGATGCCCAGCGTCACGTTGGGAAGCAGGGTGTCGCTGCGGTTGATGTCGTCGATGGTGTGCAGAGAGGCTTCCACGCGCTGGATGCCGTAGTGCTCGCGGACCTGCGCCCACGATAGGTAGGGTGAGTCTATATAGGTTGGTAATGTAGCCTACAAACGTAACTTCACAGTTAAATTATGTATTGCCTAAGGTAACCTAAGGCCGCCTCTATATCCCATCAGTGTGCTGTCGTTCAACGCCGACTCTGGTTTGGATGCACTAGCACATCACCATCGCATCGCGAGCTTATTATTATACCGCAAATTCTATAACAGTTCCCTTCGCCAAACACCTCACATTCTACCTTCTATGCGCATTTAACTGCGGACTTGCCATTCTTTTAACGTTTCTCGTCTAATTGCACGAACTCTCACTTGCTCATCATCATTTTCCCCTACATAGCCAAATACAGAAACGGCCTTCCCCACCACATCACTTCCATCACCACCTCGCCCGCCTTCACGGAAGAAATGACAAGATTCATTCGTGGAGAAATTTTGTAATTTTTATTTGGATAACCATCCCTTAGTAACACCCCTCTGGGGTCTTTAATGTGAATAAATGAAATTAAATGAAATAACCTAAGGTAACATACAGTGTTACATAAGGTAATTTAAAGAAGTGTAAGTAGGCTGTATACCTGCAGTGAGGGACATGAAACTGTGAGAGGAGGAGGAGAAAGACAGAAGCTTAGACAGTTCTCAGACCAGCTGGCTACCTTGTGCAGGAAAAAGGGTGAGGGGAATAAACGATCTTAGACGAGAGAAGGTACAGAAAGAGATGAGAAAAGGAAAAACAGGATCGACGTACGTACAACACGATAAAGGAAAGAATACAAAGAACGCGTTATGCGAAGGTTATATGTTCGGTGCCTGTCAGCGGCAAGTCATATATTCATTCACTTTATTTTCTTGAAATTTGCATCATAATTATAAGGATTACATCACCCGTACTTTCCTTGAGTTTTTTGTCAGTTAGTTCTGAATAAAATTGTGTTTGACCATGAAAAACAAGACTAATATTCCCCTTATTTCACGCATACACCTTGTGACAGCTAATACGTCTGCATGAAACAGATACGATAGTGACACACGCCGGATGGAAGTGTAGTAATACAAGTATACCATACCAAAAATGACCCGAGTGTGGAATCAAGCATCACGTCGGACGAAATAGGCACGCACAGTGAATTTGATTGCATACAAGTACCAGCAGTTCAGGTGAGCAGAAATGCGTCGGGTTACAAAAATTGCTTCGACAGCACGTACCGACAGGAGAGCACGGGACGGTGTAACTTGTGGCACAGCAACATGGTACTTGCGTTTACGTTCTCGATATCAAGCGTTTTTACCTAAGAAGATAGCGTGTTTTACCGGCGAGATGTATCTTTGCATTGTTGATTTGAGGATGGAGGCTGGATATTTGTGCCAAGTTTTGCAGGACGTCCAGGCGTCAGCATTAGCCGAAGACAACATTTTAGCCGAATGCAGCAAAGCTTCATTTGTAAGTATATCTAGCATTTTATAAACAGAAGAAAACATTGGTCGGATTCCAGCAAATGTGACTCAATTACAGAAGAGAAGGGCGAGTTTTCGAGTATCATGGCTGAATTTCGCACTCATGTGCTGGGCTGCTCTCCCCGTAAAGGGGACCCTTAGTAGTGTTCGAAGCAGCTATGGATCGATTTAAAGTTTTGTAAAAAGGTGCTTTTTTTTATTCATCACCGCAGACGTTCATATTTTATATTACAGAGCAGCGCAGCGTCACTAGCGGTCTCCAATCTTACCAGATCAGATGCGGAGCGAAGAGAGCGCTCTACCGCAGAGCCGTCTAAGAGGCTAAGCGCTTTTATTTTACAAGGCAGCGCAGCGCCGCTAGTGGTCTCCACTCATACCAAAGCACGCGCTGAAGTGGAGAGGGAGGAAGAAGACGACGAAGCTGTTGCTGCTTGGCTAAGTAGCTCTGTCTGCATTTATCGTTTATTTTGTTTATATTACGGCTCAGCACTGCTCAAGACGTCGGACGACTCGAAAAGGTACCTGCCGTATCGGCGACGAACGGGTGCTGCGCAGCCCGCCGCGTCGAAAGGTGCGAGAAGAAACGAAACAAGCATCAGGGAGAGCGCCGCCATGACCTCCCCAAGGTATGACACCAGGTCAGAAGCACCAGCTGGTTTGCGCAAGCATACCTGACTGCAAGCGACAACACAGCGTTGAATCAGAGGACGAATCAACTGTCGTCGGGGGCCACAAAGGGGCGAACCTCACAGATCTAGACATGGACGAGGGTGGTTTCTGCCTTGTGCGACATCGCAAAGACAGAACGGTGGGCATTCCTGTGTTAATTGCTCCAACATCCGAAGGAGCTAACTTGAGGCAAGTGAATCCTATTGACCTATACTCGGAAATTGAAACGATTCTCGGTGGAGCCCCAGTTAAGAGCCGTTTCACAGCAGAGGGAGCCCTACTCTTGGATATAGAGACAGAACACCAAGCTAATATGCTTCTAGAGATCAACACTATCTGCGGCCTTGCCCTATCTGCCCGTGTACCACACAGCTACATGAAAAATACATGCATTATAAAAGGGGTCCCAAGATAGTACTCGGACGAAGAGCTGTTAACCTACCTGAGACCTCAGGGAGTATACCACGCAAGAAGTATCATACGACGGGTCCAAACCTCATCCTCTGAGTGGGAATCAAGGCGCACTGACTCTGTGGTTCTCACATTTGCTCCCAATTCGGAACGTCCAGAGAAGATCAACCTTGGCTTCACCAGACACGAGCTGGTAGACTACGTGGAGACGCCGCCACGCTGTTTTAAATGTCAGTGTTTTGGACATGTTGCTAAGCACTGTCATGAGGAACAGAGGTGCAAGTGCTGTGGTGGGCTTCATGACTTTAAGACGTATACAAGTAAAGAAAAACTTGTGTGTGCAAACTGTGGTGGCGACCACCCAGCTAGCTACGGCCGATGTCCAGCACGAACAGCTGCGCAGCGAAGAAATAAGACGTTTGTCCTCGGCCTGAAGACTGTGAACGAACCATCGTTCACAAAGAAGACGTCCGGCGCGCCACAACATGGCGGTTTGGAAAACGAGTACGCAGGAAATTTTCCACGCCTAAATCCGACAAGAGCTGCTACTGAGTCAACGCAAGTGCTCAACGCTGGTGAGAAATGTATCACGAAAGAGTCCGCCAAGCGCACCTACGCTGATGCACTGAGCCCACCTCAAGTACCATCTGGAAGCCAACAACAAGAAAACCTCGAGCACGTTATTCGCGCTCTATTCACTGCACTACGTTCACACGTCGCTAAGATGCCTGCGAGTTCTACGAAGGATATGTTGGAAGCAGTCCTGGCTCTAGAATCAGTGTTACTTTTCTCTGCTTCCACAAACACACAGTAGAATAATGGCAATGTCTCGCCCACCTGGTCTATTTCGTCCTTCAGAAGTGCCCTTAATAATGCAATAGAACTGCGCCGGTCTTCGAAAACGTCTGTGTGAACTCAACCTTTTCCTGCGCGACATTCCAATACCGATTCTAGCCCTCTCCGAAGCTGGTCTACCGAATGCAAGGACGCTCCCAGGGTACACCCGACACGGCAACCCGAGCGTAACGTCGTTTGCAAATGGAAGCGCAATGATATACATAAGGCGGGAAATACCTCACGTCACCTTACCAGTGCAAGACCTCTGTTCCAACTCACTGGAAGTCGCTGCTCTGCAAGTGTGCTTGGGAAACCGAAAACTGAGTGTGGTATCGGTGTACATAAGCCCACGAAAAAAGGTCTCCATGGAGACTTTCCTAAAGGACCTTTGCACTCGATGTCCCGCTCCTCGAATAATCTGTGGTGATTTTAACGCGCACCATTCACTCTGGGGAGATAAGAGTGTAGATTTTCGAGGCAAGGAACTTCTAGCAGCTGCGGATGCTGCCAACTTATGTGTGGCGAACGATGACAAACCTACATTTTTCGGGCCACCAGATTCATGGAGTGCAATACACCTTGTACTTCACTCCACGGACCTTCTGGTATCATATACCACGGCTCCAGACAGGATGGGCAGTGACCATTTCTCCATCTTCACCAATATCCTGGGATTTCGAACTGCTGGTCGACAATTCTGCAATGTAACACGCTGGGACACCTACAGAGAAGCGTTGGACAAATCCACTGGTGAGCTGTTCGCAGATATGTTGCAAAGCAAGCGAGCAGCAACTTCGTTGCTGAAGCTGCCCAACCATTTTCCTGCTCCTGACTTGAAATTGAAGAACCTCTGCGCAGCACGTAGACGGGCGGAGCGGAAAATAATGAGAACAAAAAGAAATCCGTCTGCGAATACCGAATATAAGAGGATAAACGCTGCGATTCGTCGCCATACAAAAAATTAAGAAGAAATCAATGGGCCGCTTTCTGTGAGAGTTTGTCAACGTTTACGCCTTTGACAAAGATATGGGAAGTAATAAATAGTCTTTCTGGGAAGATCCGAACACACAGGTCATTCGAAGCACTCGCTTTGAAACAAGGAATAGATTTGCAAACCCTTGCAGAGGACTTCGCAGACGTGTACACATCTGGTAGATCAGCAGGAGCGGCGATTCCTCTGTCACCCCAGTTTTTTCACACGATGGATACGCCATTCACCTCTCTAGAACTGGATATGGCACTTAGCAAATCAAGAAGACGCTGTGCCGTGGGTCCCGATTTGATCAGCAATCAAATGCTGACAAAGCTACCATATGAGCGAAAAAGGTCTCTTTTGGACATATTTAATCATGTCTGGAGCACGGGAGAGATTCCATTTGTTTGGAAAACAGCATGGGTGGTGCCAGTCTTAAAGTCCGGAAAGGATCCTACGAGCCTCGCGTCATATCGACCGGTATCTCTTACATCATGCGTATCCAAGTTGATGGAAAGATTAATATGTACAAGATTAACTTGGTACTTTGAACAAAAAAGACGATGGCCATCGTGTATGACCGGATTTCGCCCACGACTGAGTGCCCAGGACAGTGTTTTGGACCTATTAAGCCACATCGAGCACCACTACGTCAGCGGACTCTCGACACTCGCCGTCTTCATCGACGTTGCCAAGGCATATGATTGTGTGCTTCAGGCAGGCATCGTGAACGGGCTCCAAGTCATGGGTGTTTCGGGAAATGCTCTTCAGTTCGTACATGAATTTCTCAGAGACCGCTGTGTCCGTGTTAAGCTTCGAAATGTAACGAGCGAAGAGAGACCCGTTTCCTTCGGCGTTCCACAAGGAAGTGTTCTATCTCCCTTGCTTTTTAACCCTGCCATGGCCAGCCTTCCCGGCACTCTGCACTTAGCTCTGAAAGCAGTTAAAATATCCATCTACGCCGATGACGTCTGCATTTGGATCTCAGGGTATCAGCACAACCGTTTGGCTCGGATAGCACAAAGCGCTATTTCAATCATTGAGCGTCACTTGTTGACACTTGGCCTATCTTTATCAGAGGAAAAATCGGCCTTCATGCTCTTCCCGGGAGCACGACGGAAGTCAACACGTCTGTCGCTGAATATTCGAGGCCACTCAATTCGTTGTGCAACAAGTGTCTGTTTCCTGGGCATCACCATCGACAACAAGCTATTATGGCGATGTGCAGTTGATGGTAAAGTCACTGCATCAGTGCAAAGGATCAACGCTCTTCGTCGCATGGCAGTGGTCCATTGAGGCAAAAATCCTACGTCCATGCTTAAATTGAATGATGCGCTTATAAAGAGCCGCATTCTTTATCAGCTGCCCTTGATATCACCATCACCAAGCCAGTTCGAACGCCTAGAGGCAGTGCACGGAAAGGGCCTTCGCTTGGCGATGGGAGTCCCTCAGACGGCTTCAAACACAAAGGTCACCAATGAAGCCGAGTCTCTTCCGCTCCGCCTTTTGGCGTCTCAGGCCTTATTGACGCAGCTGTCAAGACTGGGCGAGTCCTTCGCAGGCACGGCGCTTCTCCGGCGGCTAAGAGCAAGAACTGGCTCACATTTCAACGCGGCACTAAACACATTTCGATATTTAGGCTTGAAACTGCCTAAACGGCGCCCTATGGACCCGCCATGGTCTTTTGTGGATGTTGCGTGTAACTTCAGCGTACCCAATCTACCAGCGAAGCGCACCATTCCAGCCGCGGAAGCAAAATTTCTTGCGCTGGACCACTTGAGCATCATGTACCGCAGCCACCTACAAGTGTACACCGACGGATCAGTGTGCACACAAATGGATAGCTGCGCAGCGGCTTTCTGCATACCCTGCCTTGGCGTGTCATGGTCGGGCCGCCTGGATCGCGTGGTTTCGTCCACAACGGTAGAAAGCGCTGCAATCACGGCGGCTTTGCGAAAATTGCGATGTTTTTCTGCACGAGATGTTGTAGTGCTGACGGACTTCAAATCGGCGCTACAAAGACTGCATCGTGGCCTACCTCAAGAAAAGTTCACCAGGCAATCTCTGGCTCTAATCAAACACCTAAATGGCAAGAGTTTTATTATAAAGTTCCAGTGGACCCCATCCCACGTTGGCATTGAAGGCAATGAAAAGGCTGATGCCCTTGCATGCGAAGCACGTACATCGTTTCCGAAAGTAAGAACTCCCAAGACTTACCAGAACAACAAAGATGTGATACGCAATCATTTCAAGGCGATCTACAAGTTTCCACACGAAACATGTGTAATTCATGGACTTTCTTGTGAAGAAGCTACGCTGTTGTACAGCATAAGAACCGGCTCCGCATACACCCCGGCCTGGTCATTCAAGACTGGGAGATACGCTTCCCCGTTCTGTGCCTTCTGTGGTGACATCGAGGATATTGAACATTTCATTTGGCTTTGCCCACAGTTTGATGTGCAAAGGGCAGCAATGATCCGCACCTTGCGAAAAGGCTGTCATAGGCACCGGACAGTTGATGACGTCATCTTTCTTGAAGGACCCGAGGCAACTAGGATGACCGTGCAACGAATTTTGTTAGTCTTCCTGCGAGACACTGGGCTGTCTGACACGTGGTGACATTTTCCAAATTCAGGAGATGCTCAGGCGGAACAATTGCCGGCCATGCAGGCCAGGCTAACCCCACCTGCTGCAACATCACCACCACCACCACCACCACCCACCACCATGGAGCGATGGATGGATGGATGGATGGATGGATGGATGGATGGATGGATGGATGGATGGACGGACGGATGGACGGACGGACGGACGGACGGACGGACGGACGGATGGATGGATGGACGGACGGACGGATGGATGGACGGACGGACGGACGGACGGATGGTTGGATGGATGGATGGATGGATGGATGGATGGATGGATGAATGGATGGATGGATGGATGGATAAATGGATTTTGATTGATTGATTTGTGGGGTTTACGTCCCAACACCACCATATGATTAGGAGAGGCGCCGTAGTGGAGGGCTCCGGAAATTTCGACCACCTGGGGTTCTTTAACGTGCACCCAAATCTGAGCACACGGGCCTACAACATTTCCACCTCCATCGGAAATGTAGCCGCCGCAGCCGGGATTTGAACCCGCGACCTGCGGGTCAGAAGCCGAGTACCTTAGCCACTAGACCACCACGGCGGGGCAACCGATGGATGGATGGATGGATGGATGGATGGATGGATGGATGGATGGATGGATGGATGGACGGACGGACGGATGGATGGATGGATGGATGGATGGATGGATGGAGTGGATGGATGGATGGATGGATGGATGGATGATGGATGGATGGATGGATGGATGGATGGATGGACGGACGGATGGACGGACGGACGGACGGACGGACGGACGGACGGATGGATGGATGGACGGACGGACGGATGGATGGACGGACGGACGGACGGACGGATGGTTGGATGGATGGATGGATGGATGGATGGATGGATGGATGAATGGATGGATGGATGGATGGATAAATGGATTTTGATTGATTGATTTGTGGGGTTTACGTCCCAACACCACCATATGATTAGGAGAGGCCCGTAGTGGAGGGCTCCGGAAATTTCGACCACCTGGGGTTCTTTACGTGCACCCAAATCTGAGCACACGGGCCTACAACATTTCCACCTCCATCGGAAATGTAGCCGCCGCAGCCGGGATTTGAACCCGCGACCTGCGGGTCAGAAGCCGAGTACCTTAGCCACTAGACCACCACTGGGGGCAACCGATGGATGGAATGATGGATGATGAGGATGGAGGATGGATGGATGGATGGATGGACGGACGGACGGGATTATGGATGGATGGAATGGATGGGATGGATGGCATGGATGGATGGATGGATGGATGATGGCTTGCATGTGCGCTTACGATCGGGATGGTGCTTCACGCCATCTAGCCATAAAGCGAGTGCTCTACCGCGGAGCCATCTAGTGGGCGCTTCGAGTAATAGCGTCGCTACGACGACGGACAAGGGACAAGCCTCAGCCATAAGCTGCTTCGCATTTGCAACATGCCACATTTTCTCGTAGTTTCTCCGCTGCCTCTTCGATTTACGCTGTGTGTACGATTGCCGCGTCCGGAGCTAATCGTGGAGGCCACGGTCGAGTGTTTTTGTTAACGTCGGAGTCATGCATGTCATCATATTCACAGTGTAAAAAAAGCTCCTAGCATAACACGGCCAGGCATACCTTATAGTATAGCGAAATATGCAAAAGAGAATGGAGGATGAGGAGTGTTGTGAGGGTGAGTAAAAGAAAATGGAGGAGATAAGAGTGTTCGGATAGCATAGCAACGTATAGTATATATAAAAAACGCGTCATATACCCGAAATGGATTATGATGAGTGGGCGAAGACGTGGGATCATCCGGTGTTGCCGTAAATCACTCATGCCACAATTACGGATGTAAATGCGTGCCAAGCGGAGTACAGCTATATACAATGTTTATTAGTCAAAAATGGTATGTTGTGTTGAATTGCAAGTTCCGTTTGACGTATTACTGCTCAGTGGAATCAGATTCAGACAACGCTCCAATAAAATAATTATTCCTCTCTCATCTACTGCATAATCCCATCCTTGTCCGTGATCGTCTTCGTCATCACTGTCATCGTCATGGCGTATAGTGGGTACCTTGAATGTGGTATGCCGTGATGACTGAAAGAAAATGTGTGGTCTAGAACGCGTTTGTTCTTCATCTGCATGAGCATCATCGTCTATGTTATCTTCAGCGGCGGCTACAGCGCAACGCCAATGACGACTCCAACGGACAACCATCGACCATAAGAAGAGAAATCAAGGGGATGATTTGGAAAATATGGAGGGTAATGGTCAACATAGCATAGTAAGTCTAGCCCAGTAGTGCATCAAGGTGAGAGAAAGAGGAGTAAAGGTAATGAAGAGGGAAAGGAGGAGAAGAAGGCCAGCATCTCCACTGCTTCATCGTTCTTCGCACTACCAGCGCGTAGCTACCCCAACTGTTTCTATCGGAAGCACAGCCATACGGAGCATCCGCAGTAAGAGATGAACCGACAGACGTACCTCTCCACAGGTGCGCGTCTGCGCGTTCTTGGCGTCCGGTGACTGGTGCACGGGAAAGAGGGCGCCGATGATGAAGTCTCCCGGGATGCTGCCGGTCTGCCGCTGGGCGCTGGGCGGCACGGCGGCGAAGGCACCGTGCCGCTCGGCCGCCATCTCCAGGAGCAGAAGCAGCACGCAGACCCGCAGCAACCTCCTGCGAAAGCCAATGGCAAACTGAAGCATTCTGCCACCTATGGGTGCCAGCAATGTGGCGGCATATAGTACATAGCAATTCGTGCTTTAAGGCACTATTCCTTAAACACGTGGATTAAGACATAGTGTTCTAAAGACATTCGGTTACAGACACGCGTCTTTAGCCGCACGTAAGACAGGTAATTGAGGACACCAACACACTACGTCATTATATCTAGCTCCCTTATACACACGCACACTTAATACACAATAAGTGAACGATTCAGCTAAAAGTGTACGAAGGCTGTATTCCTTGTGCTACAAATGGGTAGTTGTCAGTTTTTCCTTACTTAACCCATTCCGCCATCTTGCGCGATCCCACAAAACTCATTAGCAGAGGAGCATACTGTAAAGTGGAGAGAGAGGAAGTTGAATTCACGCAGAAGTCACCATTTGTAAAGAGTTTATTTGTACGTTTTATACGAAAAACGTCGTGTCGATCCCTGCGAAACAGTGTCTGTCTGTTATGGCACGATAAGTATACGTACTTTCTGCACAAAAAGTAGTCGCTAATCTAAAGTTCTAACGTGATTACGAAACATAGTTTCACTTTTATCAGATATTCTCGTGCTGTGGACATTCAAGGTGGCAATGTACAGTAGAAGCTCTAACAGCTCTATAATTTTGGTCAGTCACATAACGACCTTTTCTGTACGTAGTACGGACAGGTGAGGCCTATATACAGGCTACCTCAAGGTGTAAGTGAGGTTTCTCAGCCCACGAAGCATTGAAACTGGTCACACGATTTTCTTGTGTGCGCTATTCTTCGGCAATGGTCTCTAAAGCGATGTTTGAAATAGGAAACACATCGTTGAAAGAAAAAAACATTGCAGGCATATTGGTTCCAGTTTATAACACGTAGCTTAAAGACTTTCATCTTTTTCCTGGCAGTGCTAAACAGCCAATCACTGGAGGAAAGAGGAATTCCAAAGCATGCGACGTGTATATTAGACGGAATAAAGACGCGAAAGCTAATTCGAGATCAAACGACGCTTTTTTTGCACCACAATATTACAAGTATCTCATTAGGATACCCTAGCAATCCGTTTGTCTTGAAAAAAAAAAGAAAAGAAAGAGAGCAGAGCATCATCATCGATTGTACCTCATGCACCATGAAGCATTGTGGCCTCGCGATCCTGTCAGCTTCACGTCGTCGTATGCGGTTGGCCGTCGCAACCTCCAGTCGTGCGCAGAATGGCCGCGCATCCGACGCGCTCGACATGTCAGGCAAAAAAAAAGAAACAAAGTCGCCAGCGCTTTGTGGACCTCATTATCGAGCTCGAAAGCGTTAAAGCTGCCCGTGCACGTGACCTTGAGTGAGCTGGCGCTGCTGGTATCACGAAGGTCCCTGCATTCGGCATGCGTGACTAATGGATCCCGCGACGCATCAGCCTATTTTAGTTGCATTTCTGGCTGCCATCAGCTTGCTAACCATTAAAGAAGAAGCTTTTTCACGAGCATGTGGCGCTTGTTCAACAGCGCCCACAATGCTAGTTAGAATGGCTAAAGGAAGTGTAGTTGTAGAGCGCAAGGCTAACATTTCCACGATTCTTACGCTGGAATCACCATCAGGACGCAATTTTGTACGCGCTATGCGACAGCACAGAATGCAACGTCCCGAGAGGACGACAACCAGCAACACAGGATCGATCGAGGCTTGTCTGACGGTTAGACATCCTAGTTTAAACGATAACAGCCGCGCTGTGAGTTATTCTGGCAAGGAACGGGCCCCGAATGAACGGAGGCATCGTTCTCTCCGGTAGAATGGGTTCAGAATAATCTTGGAACAATTTCGATTGGATCGAAACGTAAGCGCTGGTGCCGAAGAATCAAAGCGGCCTGCCTTGGGTCTGGGTTCCTCCAATCATGCACTGCTGGTTTTCGAAAAACCGCAACAAGCATCCGCTATCGAACGACATGCTGCAACGGTGGTCTGGCTAAAGCACTCGGCTGCTGATCCCCAGATTGCGAATGGAATTCCCGGCGCGGCGGCTGCATTTTCGATAGAGGCAAAAAATGTTCAAGGCCCACATGCTTTGATTGTGTGCACGTTAAAAATCCGTAGGTGGTCGCGATTTCCGGAGCCCTCAACTACAGCGTCTTTATTAATCATATTGTTTTCCGATGTTAAACCCCAAAAACTATTATTATTACCACTGAACGACTTGTTCATTTTTGACATCACATAACGTCCACTCAATATAATAGCACTGTCAAATTGTGAGACATCACTCGCTCAATTTCAAGGCTCGAAATATCAGTGCCTGCCAATATTCCAATATTCCAATATCCCTATAGTTATTGTTGTCACTTGTTGCTTCTAGTAGGCCGCGGTGGAGCAGTGGTTATGGTGCTCCGATGGTGACCCGAATGTCGCTATTTTTATCCAGGCCGCGGCGGTTGCATATAGAGGGAGGCTAAACGGCAGAGGCCTGTGTACTCGCCATGTCAGTGCACGCTAAAGAACATCAGACAGTCTAAATATCCGGAGCCCTACATGATGGCGTCTCTCATAACCATATCTTGGTTTTTACACGTAAAACTCAAGTTATTATTGTTGCTTAGGGTACATATATTGCTGTCTTAGAGCACATATATTGATGTTCTATGAGCTATTTAAATTGACGTCATGTTTCTATACGCGTTGAAAATATTTCTGAAATCTCTCAGCTTGCTTATTGCCTGTACACGACCTCTCATGACGTTTCGTAATGTTCTACCAAAGAACAATCAGAAAGTAGCCCCTAGCCGACGCTAACAAGAAATGCAGATGCCATGCCAAAACTTATTCTAATTAGCCTCAGCACTAAAGCAGGCAACCTGGCTGTCACAAAACGAGCGCTCAAAAAAGGGTGCGCCGCCAAATTCTCGCGACAAAGCGCCGAGAGGTCAACGATAAAAAAAGAAAACAAGCATCCTAAGACTCCCCGGGCGCGCGTCCCTCTTCCCTCGGAAGCGTAGGTTCGCCGTCAAACCTCCTCGCATCGGCGGCCGAGCAAGCCCTAGAATGTTCTCGATGGAAAGGGGCGTGGTGATGCAGGGTTGCGTCATCCGTCACGGACGGCCCTCGTACCGTCTCGCCCTTGCCCCAGCCTTCGCTGCGTATCACGCCGACGAAATAATGAAAACTTTCTAAATCTCCCGCGGAAGGTATTTAATCGAGCAGCTGAGATGGGAGATCAGGAGAAGAAGGAAGTTAGCGCCAGAGTGCGTAGGGTATCCCGCCGCGTCTGTCGGTGAAGGTTTTGTCCGTAGTGACAAGGCAGGAGAAGAAGAAAGTATGCGCCAGAGTGCGTAGGATGTTCTGCCTTGTGGGCGAAGCTTTTTGTCTTCCGTGACAAAGAAGGAGAAGAAGAGGATTTCCACCTGAGGGGTAAAGACTCAAGCTACAGGCGAGTGTGTGTCTACTGCTATCGAGCGAAGACGCGTGGCAACAGCTGTGTGTGTGAAGCCGACGTGTTTCCGGCGAAGAAGTTTGGAGCTTGCAGAGCGGCCAATAGAAGACGCGAGGTTTCCTAGAAGAGAAACTTCGGGGGGCAGCGGAACGACAACAACGCTGGACTTTGAGTGAGTGATTCTCGGAAGAGTATCATTCAGTCTTTTGCTCCAAGGACTTTGGACTCAATAAGTTTTCGAACATTCAGTCTTTAAGTGCCTTGGTTGTTCGATGCATGTGACTGCATTGTAGAGCGTATTGTTGTATGTGTCAGTTGTTTCGAGTGTGGCTGATTGTACTGCGTAGTACGTTGTTTGATTGGTGTCATATTGAATTCAACTATTGACGAGTGTGCATACTTGTGTATCGATCTGATCTGCGGTAATTGCGAATATAATTTGGTTTTGTTTATCAACTCTCGGCTCTGACTTGTTCTTTGGGCCACAGCCGACGTCCTCTGGCGCGCCAAATAGGACCACTTCCAAATTGTCCACGCTTTCGTGGGGCGGTTCGAAGGGCCGATACTTCGGCCCTTGGAATTAGCCCAGGGATCGCCTCCCCGATTAACGGGACCTGTGACTATTAATCTGGCGTCCGCGACAGGAACCTTTTGGTGCACAGTGTGTCCAAAGTAGTCAGAAAGAGCCTCGAGTTGTTGATAGTGCTATCGGAACGATTTTGTGTGTTGTTCAGTGTTCTCGTTAACGAGTGCAGGAGTGTGTTTCGATATATTGATTTAGACAGATGTTTTTTTTTGCACGCGGCAAGGTTTCATTTGCGAGACACATGGATCTCGAAAAGTTAGTCGCTCTTGGTGAGAAGATGGGTCTTTCTGGCGCCGAACTATGGAAGTGGGTCACCCAGAAGGAAAAAGAAGAAAAGGAGAGGGCCAAAGAAGAAAAGGCAGCTGAGCTGGAAAAAGAAAGGTTGGCGGTCGAAAAAGCCAAAGCGGAAAAAGAAGCTGGGTTGGAGAGAGAAAGGCTGGCCACTGAGATGGCGAAAGAAGAAAGAGAGGCAAAGGAGCGACAGCTGAAAGAAGAAAGAGAGCAGCAATTGAAGTTGGAGCTGGGAGAGAAAAGCTGGCAGCTGAGAGGGTGAAAGAAGAAAGAGAAGCGGAGATGGCCAAAAGGGAACGGCAGCGGCAGCACGAGATGGAGCTCGAGCGGCTCCGTTTGCAACAGTGAAATGAAACTCCCGTCCAAGCTAGAGTTGAAAGCAGCGAACGGCAAGATCATGGCTTCCGCTTAAACCCAAGCAAGCTGCTCGTAGCATTTGATCAAAGGAAGGACGACCTTGACGCGTACCTTCACAGATTTGAGACGATTTCAAGTAGCCGGAATTGGCCGGAACATCAATGGACAACTGCTTTGAGTACTTACTTGAGTGGTGAAGCGCTCAGAGTTTACGGCAGGCTGACGCCGACCGATGTAGCCAATATTGCAAACGTGAAAGCTGCTTTGCTGAAGCGATTTAGATTCACTGTGGAAGGATTCCGGGACAGG